AAAGGGGGGAAACTTGATATCAAAATTAGAACCCAGTGACTGACTCTGTGTATGGTCTGAGTAGATGTATAGTGGCATCCATTCCCTGATATTAGAAAACAGTTTGGTGGTGTGGAGGATGTTTGGAAAATTTGACTTAATTTACACTGTCTTTGGAGCAAGACAGAGCTTCCCCTGGCCATTGGCTGTACAACTGGAGCTCAGAAGAAAGGCCAGTGCAGAGAAGTGGCTTTGGGAATTACCAGCACATTAATAGTGAATGATGTTTTGGGTTTGGATATACTGTTATTCTCTCTTTCTCAGATTAAGAAACAGGGGCTCAGAAATATTAAGTAACTTGTCAAATGTCAGATTCTGACTCTGATGATTTTTTCCACATTCCGTTCTTGTGAATTTGACCTTAAAGTCTGCATCCTCTCCAAGGGTCACACATTTGGCCTGAAAATTGCAAAAACACATGCCCAGGGATTTTGTAATGTTTTCCTTGTGTTGTGATTTTGCTGCCCTTTATTCATGCTTAACATTGTTGTCTGAAATGCTTCTCTGGCCACTTTAGCCAGAAGTTTCCTTCCAGAGGGAAAGGGGTGATCCAAATCTTTTACTTATACTTAACCTTACATTGAGTAGAACAAGTACAGTCCTGAGCTATGCTGTTCTGCCCTGAACTCCTTAATGGTCTGTGGTTCCAGTCTTCCTTCCAGGGAGACCAGTTCCTGCTCCAACCAGTTAACAGGAGAAGCTCGACAGGGTCCACTTACGCCTCCTCAGGAGGTCAAGGGAATATAAAGATGATGGCCACCATTAAGAGGTCCATTCTGGTGCTTCCTTGGTGGTCCAGTGGTTAAGAATCTGCCTTGAAATGCAGGGAACACTGGATCAGTCTCTGGTCAGGAAAGATTCCCACTTGCTGCGGAGCAGTTAAGCCAGGGCACCATAACTACTGAGGCTAAGTGACGCAACTGCTGAAGCCTGCACATGACGGAGCCTGAGCTCCGCAACAAGAGAAGCCACTGCAACAAGAAGCCTGCACATGATGGAGCCTGAGCTCCGCAACAAGAGAAGCCACTGCAACGGGAAGCCTGCACATGATGGAGCCTGAGCTCCGCAACAAGAGAAGCCACTGCAACGGGAAGCCTGCACACTGCAACTAGAGGGTAGCCCCCACTTGCAACTACTAGAAAAAGCCTGTATGCAGCAAAGAAGACCCAGCGCAACCAAAAATAATATATATATATATATATAGGCTTCCCTGGTGGCTGAAATGGTAAAGAATCTGCCTGCAATGCTAGAGACCAGGGTCAGTCCCTAAAAAGAGATCCATTCTGTGGCCAGGCTCCTGGTGGTTGTGGATCATGCATTGGGTGGTGGTGCTGGATGTGGGGGTGGGATGCAGGCTGACTGCACAGGAAGCAGGAAAGAGCTCTAGGAGTATCTCAGTATGGCAAGTTATTCAAGAGGCTTCCTATAACAGTATGTAGGAGGAACTCCATTGAGTCTGTGCAAACATGTAGTTTGGAGGGGCTTACATTTCTTAGCAGCTGCTTACTGACATCATCTTGCCTCTCAGACCCCCGACCTCCTCCCTTAGCTTTCTCCATTCAATCTAAGGGTTTCAGAGAATTTCATGTAATTACATTAATGATAAACATATTCCTCTGAAGTATCCAATTATTGGACATAGTCAGAGAGAAGTAAAGGGGCCATAGACCCTCTTCTGTTCTGAGCATTTTATCTTATTTTAGATTCATGTGTGGCATTAAATTCTAGATTCCTGGCCACTTTCCATGTGTGTTTAATGGAACGGGACACTTTCCAAAGCCTTAAAAGTTTTCTTTTGACAGTCAAGGTGAATCATTCTGGTGCTTTCTGAAATGCAGTAAGACATAATGAAGAAATGGGGAAGGATGACAGGAGTGAAGGGCTGGAGCTAGCAAGGTTATATGATGTATCTTTGACTGGGAAAAGGACAGGAGTCACCCTCTGAGAGGAAGGCACCAGGCAAATCCTGGCAAGGGCCACAGCTGACTTGAGTTTAGCACCATATAATATACAAATATAAAAATATTCATGAATATGCAGGGAGGCAAGGCTGGTGGAAAGGAGGAAAGTGGAGAAGGATCCCAGGTGTAGGTGGTGTAGAAATGAGACAGCAGTAGGGCTGAGTATAGGCTCAGTTAACTGACCACAGTTAACTGGCAGTTAACTCGACCACAAGGATCTATTTAGAAAACCTTGTGTTTGTGATACTCTCCCAGAAGCTTCAGTGCTAAACTCACTGCTCTTTATTACACTGGGCAAACATTGAAGCTGAGATTTACTTACCTTCTTCTTCCAAAAGGAGGAACTTGAGGTGACTTCCTGGCTCAAGGTTCTTTTGAACCAAGGTTTGCTGGTTTTAGATAGCAAACCATCCTTTTCTCTTATCATGCTGTCTTCAGGGACATGTCAGTTTCTATCCCAGGTACTCAGACCCCCATCTACATGATCTCTCTTTGTTTCTCTTCCTGCCTACCCTTAAGGGAAGGGTCCAGCCCCTCCCCATATCCTGCTTCCATGGACTACTTTCCATGTCCATGATCTTCACTCCAGGTGTCATTCCCTCCATGCAGCTGATAAGCAGTGGGAGTGGGATACAGGCAAGAGAGGTACAGCAGCCTCCCAGTTGTGTGCGTGCATGCTAAGTTGTTTCAGTCATGTCCAACTCTTTGTGACCCCATAGACTGTAGCCTGCCAGGCTCCTCTGTCCATGGGGTTCTCCAGGCAAGAATCCTGGAGTGGATTGCCATGCTGTCCTTCATGGGATCTTCCTGACACAGGGATTGAACCTGCATCTCCTGTACCTCCTGCATTGGCAGACAGGTTCTTTACCACTGCACTACCTGGGAAGCCCAGAAATATGTAACCAATAACCAACAAGGGCAGACAGAAGAGACTCTACCATTTGCCTTTGACATTTGATTATACTGTTGTTCAGTCCCTCAGTCATGTCTGACTCTTAGAAATGAAAGACATGACAGCAGAATTTTTTAAAAAAGTAAACAATATAGAGTTTCGAAGATAGATTTGAGGAGTCTTCCAGAAAGAAAAGTTCAAAGAAAGAGAAACCAGGAGAACCCCTGGACTGCAGCACACCAGGCTTCCCTGTCCTTCATAGTCTCCTGGAGTTTGCTCAGACTCATGTCCATTGAATCAATGGTGCCATCCAACCATCTCATCCTCTTGTTGCCCCCTTTTCTTCCTGCTGTTAATCCTTCCCAGCATCAGGGTCTTTTCCAATGAGTTGGCTCTTAGCATCAGTCCTTCCAATGAATATTCAGGGTTGATTTCCTTTAGGATTGACTGGTTGGATCTCCTTGCAGTTCAAGGGACTCTCAAGAGTCTTCTCCAGCACCACAGTTCGAAAGCATCAGTTCTTCGGTGCTCAGCCTTCTTTATGGTCCAACTCTCACTTCCGTACATGACTACTGATGGATTATGTTATCCTGCTTTTTCTGTTGTTTCCTTCTGGAACAGCTTTTTTTGGCTATTAGACTTCCTTCCTTCCTCTCCTGGTTTCTCTTTCTTTGCGCTTTTCTTCCTGGAAGACTCCTCAAATCTATCTTCAAAACTCTATATTGTTTACTTTTTAAAAAATTCCGCTGTCATGATTTTCATTTCTAAGACCTCACTTTTTGCTCTATTAATGTTCCTTATTGGAACTACCTTGTTCTTGTTTCATGGCTACAGCAGTTTTGTCTGTCTCTCAAGATATATTAATGAAAGATTTTTTTTCCTCTGCATAAGCTCTATTTCCCCAAGTTGATACTTTCCTGTTTTATTTTGTCTCCATTTTCCATGTTAGAACCTTTCCATAAAAATCCAGTGATCCTTCGATTGTTTAGAGGAGCTAACATCCTAATTGAAAGCTCAAGCGATGGGAGCTATTTACCAATTTTGAACTTTACAGTAGGGCGATGGGGGCAGGGTACATTTCTTGCAAAGGTCTTTCCTCTTATCTGGTCAGTATTCCAGGGGAAAGTCTTTCAGTCTGAAAAATAAAGGCATCAGTGTCCTGAAAGCTGAGTGGGTAGTATTAGCTTTTCGCACTGAGCACTCAGATGACATGTCATTTAACTCCCCTACTTTTTGAACAGTACCAGCACACTCAACCGTGCCTTGTATAGCCCCCAATCTAGCATCCTTGTTTTACTGCAGAAAATAGATCTCCATACTTAGGTCAGAGTAGTAGTGGCATAGCATGAGAGAACAATACTTAAGGATAAAATTGCTTCTCAAATTGCTTTCACCCCAACTTCCCTTATACCCCTACCCCTAGTTCCAGAGGTACCTGCTTCTGCCAGTTCCCGAGTCTTTTGGGAAATCTGCAGTGTAAACCTAGATTGCTCAGTTTCCCCACACTACTAGCTTAGGATTCAGCCTTCTTAGGTTGTTAACTCAGTTCCAAGTTTTCCATCTACTTTCCAGCTTCATAATTTTGTCCCTATTCTGCCTTTCTGGCTTTGATTCTTTAAAAGAAAAATGTAATTGACTCTAGTTTCAGTGGAGTTTTAGAGGACAAAAATGATTGCCATCACACCCCAGAAAACATTCAGTATTTCTGCTTCTCAACTCAATTATCCCCAATCTTTATACCTTTCTTAACTTCCTCAGCCCATGTTCATGACTATAAGATAGATTAAATCAGATTTGCTTCAGAGCTGCAGTTATTTTTTAGTTGTATTCTATTTGTAATATTTAAACTTTTTAATTAGAGGGTAACTGCTTTACAATGTGTTGGTTTCTGCCGCATAACAACGTGAATCAGTACTAACTATATGTACATCCCCTCCCTCTTGCCCCTCCCTCCCATCCCGCCTCACCCCTCCAGGTTGTCACAGAGCACCAGGCTGGGCTCCCTGTGTTACAGAGTAGCTTCCCACTAGTTATCTGTTTCACACATGGTAGTGTATATGTGTCAATGCTGCGTTCTCAGTTCATCCCACTCTTTCCTTCCTCCACAGAGCTGCAGCTATAAAGGCAAGAGGTCGGCTACAACACATTCCTGCAAGGACAACATTTTATCCTTAAACTTCAGCACACCTGATGGTCAAGAACAGTTGGCTACATACATTCTTTTTCTTCTGTGAGATTTGGCCTACTCACATATAAGTGGCATTTATAATGTTGGTATCATGCTTCCCTGCTTGGAGCCTGGATGGGAGTATATCAGCAATAAGTGGTACTCAGGGGTACAGGACAGAGCAGGGGGACCCAAGGCCCCCTTCCCACAGCAAGCTTACAGGCTGAAGCAGGCCTGAACTGGATCAGGGAGAGGATTGATACTGCTCTGTCCAGCTTTGAGTTTTGATTACTATGTGAGAATTCTCTTCTAAATATTCTATGGTTGCAACTTCTCACCCAGCGCAGGGGTTTTTACTTGGGGCCATGGACCCACTGGGTCTATGGGTAAAAAATCTGTATTTCTACATTGGATGGGAAAAAATAATGTTTAACTAAACTAACTGGAATTTAGCATTTCATTTAGTATAAAATGCTAGCACCAAACCCCAGGAGGATCATTGGTATCTGTGACTGTGTGACCAATAGAAATCACAGATATTTGTAATTTATATTAGATTCTTTGCAGATGTCTCAGAATACCATTTACCTTCATCATGATGTCAAAATTATGGTTGTTAATACATGTACCATCAGTTCTTGTAATTTAATATGCAAATAAAGCAGCATCAATACCTGATAGCTCAGTTGGTAAAGGATCTGCCTGCAATGCAGGAGACCCTGCTTCAATTCCTGGGTTGGGAAGATCTGTTGGAAAGGATGGGCTGCCCACTTCAGTATTCTTGGGCTTCCCTGGTGGCTCAGTTGGTAAAGGATCTGCCTGCAATGTGGGTGACCTGGGTTCAATCCCTGGGTTGGGGAGATCCCCTGGAGAAGGGAAAGACCACCCACTCCAGTATTCTGGCCTGGAGAATTCCATCTACTGTATAGTCTATGGGGTCACAAAGAGTTGGGCACAACTGAGCGACTTTCACTTTGATAAAATGTCAAATATCACAACATTTTTATTTTAAAAAGTATTTGTTTATTTCTTTGAACTTGTTTCATTCTTTTCATTTGTTTTTTTCTGGCCATGTCATGAGGCTTGTGGGATTTTAGTTCCGTGACCAGGGATTGAACCCAGGCCCTCAGCAGTGATAGCACAGAATTCTAACCACTTGACAGCCACAACATTTTAAATATCTTGGGAATAATCTTTCAATATCATTGGCTTCTTTAATAATCTAATTTATTTTATTTTATTCATTTAAAAACATTATTCCAAGGGGATCCTGAGCTTCAGTGGAGTCTGTGACATAAAAAATCCTTGAGACCTTGATCCAGAGGAATATGAAGTCATGAGGCTGCTGAAGTGTGCATTGAGGGTGGGGAAATCTTTACCCATACTCACTAAATTCTAAAGGGCTGCAGGAGACAGAAGCCATCCAGCATGTCAGGTACGCAGGTAACCTGCTCATCACATGCAGTCTGGCCTGGTGCTGTGATGGACACTGGGGTAGAAATCATGGGGGAGAGGCCCTTGCTCAGATCCCAGGGTTGGGCATAGCTGCTGGGAGTCTCTGAATTGAGACGTACAGGACAGACAGGAGTTGGGCAGGCTGATGCCAAGAACAGACAGAGTGGTGTTCCGTGCAGAGAGTGGAGCTGAGTGAAGGGCTGGAGGAGAGAGAACAAGGCTCGACAGGAACAAAGTTTTCCTGTGCCTGACTGGGGGCTTTGTGGGGGAGGCAGAATGTGGATCTTGTTTATTAAATTTGTTGTCAACCCCTACCAGAATATAGTCTGCTTAAGATCTGTCTCACTCTGCTTCCCCCAGATCTAGAATTGCTAGAATTGCACCCATGACACAGTCAGGCTCAATAAAAACAACTGAATTAGTGAGAGAACAACTAGGAGCCAGATCACAGAGGGCCTGAGAGGTTGTGTTAAGAAATTTTTGGATTTCATCTAAGAGTAAATATATCTGTTTCTGAAGTGACTGATCAAGAATAGATTTGTGATGAACTAAAGAACATTAATTTTACTCCTAAAACTACAGTAGAACTCTTAAAACTCCCTTTGAAGAGATGTTTATCCAGCTTTCAAGTTCTACCCTGCTTTATAGCAATGGGAAGATGTACCAGAAAACTGAAATTGAAAAATTTTCAGAAAGTCAAAATCCTAAAGACAGTGAAGGACTCTATAAAAGTGTATGCCAAGTGCCATGAAATGTGGTTCCTGAACTGTCAGCCTGAGAGGTCACAAGTTAAAGGTCCTTGGAACTAAATTCCCACTGTATGGAAAGTTAAGAAATATAAATTCTCAAATAAACCTGATAACAAATGCAGACAAAAAATTAGAACTGGATAGTTATTCCTAAGTTTTGCATTTGAAAATTTATCTTACTCTGTATTTTCAAGTTGAAGCAAAGATTTGTGCCTATTTCCTATTTTCAGCTATGAAAACATCTTACTGTCTAGACCTGGAAAGAAAAGATATTATTTTAAGGCTTGCAAAATATGCTTTGTTGGCGATTCATTCCTATCCTGTGGACTTCTGGATATATACACTGGAAATCCTTGTCAACAGGCTACTCATAGTATATAAACATAAAGGTTGGTTTCCATTTAAATAACCCCAGTACCCACCATCATTTTTACTGTCATGTAGACTCCTGTTTTCTATTCTACCTACCTAACATTCCCCCCTCAAGAGATGGGAGGCCCATTCCTTGGGAATAGGGGCATCAAGGTCTTTCTGACTACTTCCTGCTGAACTGGGACAGCGAGGGGTATTGGGCCTCCCCCTCTTGCTAGTCTCAGGCCTCAGAGTCCTTATAGTGGTGTCCATCTAAGGGTGAGTGATATTTTCCATGGTCAGCTGTAGTTTTGTACCTTTGTTGAACTGGAACTGCATTTTGTAGCTTGTTGACCTGAGCAGAGACAAAACAGGTTAGACAATTGATAATGCATGGAACAATCATAAGCAGCATCAGTATGGTGTAACAAGGACTAGTAGGGGCATTAGCCAATTCCAAATTCACATTGCCAGGATGGCTCAAATCCCTCCTTGTTCAGGGATCAGAAGATTTATCTCCTGCCTGTTTTGGAGTACAATCTCTGCCAAGCTGTGTTGGCTCTTTAGAGATATCCTGAGAAATCTTGTCCCCAGAAACCAGATTTTGGGTGTGTTCATTAGAATAGCACTCATTTGTAGTTCTGAATAGGTATTTGAGATCTCTCAGGGGCTCATGGGTGTATTGAATGTCCTCTTCTGTTTTCTTCCATGGCTTGACTTGTGAGTAGTGAATCCAGGAGTCATGTCCTGGTACCTTGACTGCTGTGAGGGTAGAAAGTATTACAGGGTAGGGGCCCTTCCATGTGGGCTGGAGTTGAGCCTTTGGGCACCCATCTTTCCAGACTTTAATTAGGACTTGAGTCCCTGGAGCATATAGTGGTGACTCCTTAGAGTCTTTTGGGTCCTGGTTCATACCCCACAAGTGTATATCCTGTTGGAATTGCCCCATGGCCATGGTATCAGTGGAGGTTCTGAGCCTCTGGATCTAGGAAGACGTCATCAACATAAACAAAAGGTCTCCCATATAGCATCTCATAAGGACTAAGACCAACCTGTTCCTTAGGGGCAATACGGGTGTGGAGGAGAGCTATTGGTAAAGCCTTCTTCCATCCCAGGGAGGTCTCCTAGGTTATCTTTTTTATCGCTGACTTTAAGAATTGGTTGGCTCTTTCTACTTTTCCTGAAGACTGAGGCCTCCAGGCACAATGGAGATAATAAGTAATGCCCAAAGAATTGGTTGGCTCTTTCTACTTTTCCTGAAGACTGAGGCCTCCAGGCACAATGGAGATAATAAGTAATGCCCAATGCTTTAGAGACCCCTTGGGTGACCTTAGAAGTAAATGATGTCCCATTGTCACTTTGTAATGACCTGGGCAGACCAAATCTTGGAATGATTTCATGGAGTAGTTTTTTACTACCTCCTCAGCCTTCTCAGTCCAGGTGGGAAAGCCTTCAATCCATCCTGTGAATGTATCTATCATGACTAATAGGTATTTATACCCTTAAGAAACTGGCATCTGGGTGAAGTCCATCTGCCAGTCCTCTCCTGGATAGGCCCCACGTCATTGGGGCTGGGCCAGCTGGGGTCTTCGAGCTCCTTGGGGGTTGTTTAATGGGCAGGTGGGACAAGAGGAGACCACTGCCTTATAGTTGTTTGGAGGCCTGTTCCTCTGAAGGACCTTTCTAGTAATCTTTGGAGGGCCTTCTCCCCTAAATGAGTGGTAGCATGTAAGGAGTTAACCAACTTCCATTGGAGGTTCCCAGGCAGAAAAAGGAGTCCCTCCTTTTGAAACCACCCCATATGGTCTTCTTGAAAGCCCTCACTCTTAGCTTTAAGAGTCTCACCTTCAGTATATGAAGGAGTTTCTGGCAAATTAGTCTGTGGAACTAGGGTGGCAACCCCTGTTAGGTCGTGGTTCTGTAACACTGCTCTCTTAGCTGCCTGATTGGCTGCTTGGCTCCCTCACGCCACTTCCAAGCTCCCTTTTTGGTGTCTTTTACAGTGGGAGACTGAAACCTCAGTGGGCAGATGGGCTACCTCCAAGAGTCTAAGAATTTGATCACCATCTTTGGGGACCCTCAGGTGGTCAAGTGGCCCCTTTCTTTCCAAATAGCTGCATGTGCATGTAGTACCAGAAAGGCATACTTGGAGTCGGTGTAAATGGCTATTCTTTTTTCCTTTTCCCAGCTCTAAAGCTTGAGTCAGGGCTGAGCTCAGCTAATTGGACTGAAGTACCTGGTGGCAGAGGTTTAGCCTCTGTGGTCTCAAAATTGGAGACTACTGCATACTTGGCTCTCCTTTTTCCATCTAAGACAAAGCTGCTTCCATCCAAATCTGCTTCTACCAGATTTCCTCAGGATTGGTCAGAGGATCTTCTGACAATCCCTCTCAGGGTTTTGTCCAGTGGCCCAAGGTTTCTAGACAAGAGTGAAAGGGGAGAGAGCCCTTGGGGGTAGGCAGTAGGGTGGCTGGGTTAAGAACCTCACAAGGGGATATAGTGAGGCCTGGATTTTTCATCAGCATTACTTGATATCTGAGGACTCTGATCAGATATCCATAAATGGCCTTTCCCATTTAGGAGTTGTTTTACTTGGTGGCTGGTAAAAATAGTTAGTTTGCCCCCAAAGGAGAGTTTTAAAGCATCTTCTATCATGATTGCAATAGCTGCAACATTTCGAAGGCAGGAGGGCCAGCCTTGGATGGTTGGATCGAGTGTCTTGGATAATAAGCTACAGGCTGGGGCTCAGATCCCAACCTTTGAGTTAACACTCCCAAGGCTATTCCTTTTTTTTTTTTTTCCATTTATTTATATTAGTTGGAGGCTAATTACTTTACAATATTCCCTGTCTTTCATGGGCATAAAGTTGGAATGCTTTTTCTGGGTCTGGTAACCTCAAGGCAGGTGCCTGAGTTAAGGCCTGTTTTAGTGTATCTGCCTTCTTTTGAGAAGTTCCCCACATTAGTGGGATTGAATCATCCCGTCCCTTTAAGCTTTCATATAAGGGCTGGGTAATTAGACCATAGTTGGGTATCCAGATTCTACAATACCTAGTTAGCCCCAGGAAAGCTTGCAATTGTTTTCGAGTCGTGGGGGAGGGCAACTGGAGGATTCCTTGTACCCGATCAG